AATATATATATGTGTGTGTGTGTGTGTGTGTGTGTGTGTGTGTGTGTGTGTGTGTGTGTGTGTGTGTGTGTGTGTGTGTGTGTATAATTATCTACTAAATTCATTATCATGCATACATTCATATAATTATAGCGAAGCTAAGTTTATATAATATTAATTAATTATATTAATATTAATGTCACATAATAATATTAGTATTAATATTAATATTCGTATTAACGAGCAGAGCAATTTCAGAGATATAAAAGTCATTGGAAGCTCAATTCTGATTTTGTTACAAATATATAAAATTCCATCACGTGTGCAAGATAAGATTTATAATATAATATATTTTAAATTCTTGAATCATTTTTTAATTTACTTGTTAATTCTTTGATTTATTAGTACTATATATTGCTGGGTATACATTACTGGCTATACATTACTGGGTAATAAATATAATTTATTCAGCGTTTAATTCCATCAAGTAAAATCTTGCAAATGTTGTAACATTTAAAAGAAATTTGAATTGATGCAGAGGACACTACTATCCACATGGTTTCACGCATTGAGGAATAACGTCTGACGGTGCCGACAGGCGCCGACACGGAGCACGCTATGTCATAACCTTTAGAGCACAACGCGTTTAGTAAACAATCTCGTGTGCGAAGTCACTAACGTTTATTTTATTCGCAATGTATGAGGCACACAGCATCAATGCAGAGCACAAAGATCTCATCCATGATATTGCCTATGATTATTATGGGGAACGAATGGCGACATGTTCCAGTGATCAGTTCGTAAAGGTACAGTATTTATCATGTTCATTTGATTTTTTCCTCTTCCTTATTTATTTACTTAAACGTCGCTTCTTATCATCTTTCGCTGGATAGAATAAGAATTTTAAAGATACGATTTCATACAATGAATTTCATTATAGGTTTGGGATGAGGATGAACATGGAAATTGGCACCTTACTGCATCGTGGAAGGCACACAGTGGCTCCGTATGGAAAGTCACTTGGGCACATCCAGAATTTGGTCAGGTTCTTGCTACATGTTCATTTGACCGCACCGCAGCTGTTTGGGAGGAAATAGGTTAAGCAGAGAGGCAGAGATTGTTTTTCTAAACAAGCTTGACGATGTATTGTATTATTTTTATTTTCTTGTCAGTTGGCGAAGGTTCTGGGCCAGAAGCACGTGGTAGTAAGCATTGGATTAAAAGGACAAATCTAGTTGATTCACGTACTTCTGTCACAGATGTAAAATTCGCACCAAAGACTTTGGGCCTACTATTGGCCACTTGTAGCGCAGATGGATTCATTCGGATATATGAAGCACCAGATATCATGAATTTAAGTCAATGGACTCTACAGCACGATATCAATTGTAAACTTTCATGTAGTTGTCTAACTTGGAATCCTTCTCTCTCAAGGTAAAATCCTTCTTTTATCTTGTCTTCTTAAATTTATTGAGGATATTATAAAAAAATAAATAAATTACATATTTAACGAATGAAACAAAACAGAATTATATGTTTTAAAATATAGCTATAAAATTAATATTTAATAAAAATATATTTTAGATTACATCCACCTATGATAGCAGTCGGTAGTGATGATCCCAATCCGTCGCTTGGGGCAAAAATCTTTATCTATGAATATTCGGAGAACAGTAGGCGTTGGATAAAGGCCGAAACATTGTCAAGCATTACAGATGCTGTTTATGATATTGCATTTGCTCCCAATTTAGGAAGAAATTTCCATACGCTGGCCATAGCTACGAAAGATGTACGGATAGTTACTTTGAAACCGACGGAGTAAGTACAACTCAAGACTTACATTAAAAATTAAACAAGTCAGATGTTAAATGTACACTCTTTTTTCTTTCAGTGAGAATACGCAAGCTGGAATATCACATTTTGAAACGAATGTAGTTGCGCAGTTTGATGATCATTACTGCACTGTGTGGCGCGTCAGTTGGAACTGCATGGGAACAATTTTAGCGAGTTCCGGCGACGATGGTTGCGTTCGATTGTGGAAGGATAATTTCATTAATCATTGGAAGTGTATCTCTGTTCTCAAAGGAGATGGCGTTCCAGCACAGAATGCGGAAACTCCCGTTGTAGCGACTCCGCCGAGTTCGTCTACGCCAGCTCAACAGATACCTTCTACCACCAGGTACTACAAACTGGGTACCATCAGTCATCCAAGCCAAGTACCTTGGCATTAGAAGATCTAATCAATTTTTAGACAATCGTGAATTATTTTGTGTTTATTGACGCGCCAATTTTTGTCAGAAAGGAAATATGGAGTGTACAATCGTTATCGTAAAAATTGTGACCTATGTTCTCCATCCATCCTTATTGTTTATTTTATTTTATTTTTATAATTTATACATTCTTATAATAATATCTTTACTGTTGAATTTGTTTTCTAAAGCAGTCACGTTTATACGATGTTAAATGCACTGCTATTGTTTTGCACTTTTATTACAATTTTATGTTTTATTAGCACTTCTTTTTTATTTAAACAAGCTCATTATCTTATTAGTGTTTACTAAAATTTTAAAAAATCGTAATGCAAAGTTATGTAGGACAATTCATATGTGAATCAATATGAATAAGCAACTTTTGAGGATATGGGTGGAGGATATGAGAGTATGATATGAACATGTATTTGTTACAAGCAGATTTTGAAGAAATTTTCAATACATACTCAAATTTTGAGAAATTATTTTTTACAAATTTATTACGAAATAAATGGCGTTTAAATAAAAAGAAGATTTGTAACACATTTTTCATTAATAAATATTGTTTCTGCATCATGAATATCTTTTTATTTTCTCCTCCCTTATTCTGCCGAAGTTGTCGAAATTCTTCATTGCGGTATTTATTTCTTTTTTGGGAATATGTGCGCGATAACAATATTGTTCGTTGTTTCATTATTCCTGGTTTTGTGATGTTTTGCAAATGATTTTATTTCAATTCGTAAAGGTGAGGACTTGTATCAGTACGCGATTTTTTCACTCGCTATAAAATAATATTTGTTACTATTTCAGGACTGTAAGCATAGCCACGGTTACAGCGGAGAAGCCGACTGCTACTGTTGTAAGTAGCAATAAATGGCAAGCGCCCGTTATAAAGGGACGTTTTAGTAAATCTGTATGGCTGGGTAATCCTAGCGAACCGACACCGCCATTGCTGCCGATTACAACAAAGAAATAATTAGAATTGTTCTAGCAACGTGTGATTCTAGCAATGTGTGATTTAGTATTATTAGAATAAGATCATTGATCTCGATTTTAACTCTATTGTGATAACGCGTAATCCGACATACTTTTGCGGAAATTAAAATACAAAATCGTTTAGTGCACATAGTTTATCTGTGATTCTTTGACACCATATATTAATTATCTCATTGTATTTCATTGAATTAATTAAATTAATTAGATTACATGGATCTCCGATTTGTGCAAAATAATCTGTTATTGAAAATGTAGAAATTTCTGATAAATATATTTTTAGAAATATGATTAAAAAAAGAATGTTTCTTTGTAGCAATTTTTATTTGATACGCTATCGATCATTCTTCATTCATCGAGGATGTCACCGATGTATCTTCTCCGTTTTTACCTTTTAATTCGCTTTCATTTATCCACAGCCGACAGCAGTTCAATCCTAGGGGCAGATCCATGACGCCGAGTGTATTTTTATTTTCTGCGTGTATAAAGGTTGCAATAAACGAAGGTAACTTCAAAGTAAGCATTCGGGAAAAGAATTCTTTGAATACGTTCAGATTGCTTTTTCTCCCTTTGTGTTATTTTACAATACAGGTCGAAATCATATAGAGACACAATTAAAAAGAAACTATCCCGACTTTTATTTTTATTCAAAAGACGAATTTACAAATTTTATTAACGATAAAATCACGATAATTAACAAGCGTGATGTCTAATGAGTGAAAGTATACTGAGAGCTAATGACTCACATAACCGAACCAGTGAGAAAAAGCGCTTTAGATGTAGTGCAATATAACCTTCGCGCTATTGGTTATGTAAGTCACATTATTTAGCTACTTAATATATTATAATTTACTTTTAATTAAAATAAACAATAGTGTAAAAAGTCCGCATATGAAAATATTTTTAAAATATGTCAACATTTATAATATTAACTGCACAAGTTTTACATGGCGAATTCATTCTCTTTTCAGAAAAGTTATGTTACACGAGTCGTTTACTTCGGAGAATATCGCGGGACTCATGAAGTTCTGCGAAAGGTGGATACCATCGTAAATTATATATGTCGTATTTTAGAATTGTAATTGCAACTGTAATATAATCTTCGTGTTCAATTTTATTTTGAAAGATGTCAGCAATATAATTCATGATACGTTAACGTTCAACGAAAATGAGAGTCAAAGAGAACTTATATTCCCACTGTACAAGAATAATTTCTATAAATTATTGAATAATTTAAATTTGAATTACTCGATTTAAATTACATTATTAATAAAAAAAATCCATTTTATATAGTTATATAGTCATTATATTTTATAGAGGATGGAAGATATAATACAAGATTTATGCATGGATTACAATAATATTCCCATCACAGGTTTATTTCTCGTTTATCCAACGTGTTATGTTCACGTGTTAGAGGTATTTGAATATTTCACAATTTCTACATACTATACAATAGAAATATTAAAATAAATTTTTATTCATCCAGTTAAATTGGAAATCTTGAATGAATTGTAAAATCCTTTTCTTGCAATCGTAATTTTCGTTTTTGTTCCATTTATTCATCATTATTTGCTTCGTGAGGCGAGAAAAATGGAAATAAGAGAGAAATTTATTCTCTTGATAGGCGTGGGAAGATGTCATTTATAAACACTACGAGCTTCTATACACCACAGACGACGGTGAATGTAAATTTGGAAAAGCAATTCCCCTGCCTTCATACCATCACGTTCATCAAGTCAGTAACTTGATACGTGATGTATGCGTATCTACATAAAAAAGATTGCGCATACATACATATATATATATATATATATATATATATATATATATATATGTGTATGTATGTGTATAGATGTAATATCGTATATATTGCATTTTTAGAGATTTTTTCTCAGGGCTGGTGCCACGTTTATATGATACCGCCAACTTTAATAGGGACGTTAGAAGCCCGTACGTTGGACGAAATTCAAAAGCAAGTCTCAAACTGTCTAATAAAGGTGTACGCATTATGCGAGTATATTGCGTACGCGGTGCATGAAAAGGTTTGCAATTTTCGAGAGAGCTAAACGGAATGCATAAAGTATCCAGCTTTGTCCGCTTTACGTTGGACGGAGTATTAATGAGGCATTCAAAAGAATTTGTTTGAAGGATTTCGAATCCGAATATAAAGCTAAGAATTTCCTTCATTTCACCTCGTGACGCTGCTTTCATTCGATTTTACAGTCGATCGACGTTCAAGACGCGTTACGAAACTTGAAAGACAAAGCCCGGTATCTTCCCGAAAATGCAGTCCTCGAGTCTCTTCTCAACGTGAACTTGCCCGTACTCAAAACCGTCGAGGAGTATTTACGACTGTACTCTGATGTGTCGCCAAGCGACTTTTGGGACGGTAAAAATTACACATATATCCAATAAAGTTAGCTCCTTACGGAAATCCAATTTAATACTGTCAGTCAATTTAATATTAAAAATTACTTATTTTATGAATATTAAATAATATTATAATGGTGATTATTTATTTTGAATATTAAAAGTACTGAATAGTGCCAGCTAATAGTGCCAGTATTAAATTTCTATAAGGGGCGCTATTATATTCTATTATATTTCTGCTGCTATTTCCATCAATTAAATTTACAGACACTTTGCAGAACTTATTTTTGACAAATTTAGCTAGTCGAACAATTTTAAATAAAAAAAATAAACAAATTATTTAGATATTAGATATCAGCACATCGCATTGAAGCGTCACTGGCTGATCATCGTTGAGGGATACAATAATAAGTTTCCTGTGAATAAAAACGATTATTTATTTCAGAATATTTACAATATCAAAAAAACGTTCTGGTATGGGGTACATGAGACTCGTGTGTGTGTGTGTGTGTGTGTGCGCACGCGCGCGTGTGTGTGGTGTGTGTCTGTGTGTATCGGAGATAGTCCTAAACTAAGTACATATACAAACTTCAATGTCTCGCGCAAGCGGCGGCTGGTCAGATCCGGTCTCGTTATCACGTCATACAGGCAGTAATGCATACAGAATAGTGTAGCAACGCATCTTTATTTAAATAATAAAAAAAAACGAAATTCCCTCGGCGTCTTGTTTTCGATCGATATTGGAGTCACTAAAGAGAGGGCGAATACGACCGACGAAGCATCGCGTTTTCGCCTATGATCATTCGCGCGATCGAGAAATATCTCAATGCTCTCATCGATCTTTCCGTGCCTAGCTAACGAATACCTTTTAATCATTTTGCAGATAACAATATCTGGCCACCGCCTTGCGATATTATGCCTCGCGACGCGTTTGATGGACATGCTTCCGAATCACCCGAAACAGTGAAAAGACGTGCCCTGGAAACCAACTGACGCCGGCGAAGGAAAACAGTGATTTATCTTTCCCCTCTTCTTGAATTTTTTTAATGTAATCAAACATGCGGAAAAGAAGAGAATAAACGTTTCTTCAAAAAATCGTGTTCCATTAGAAAAAGTCCGTTATCGTTTATTAAAAAGTTCACACATTTCGTAATATGCGCATATAGTGATCACACGTACAAAACAAATTGTAGAAACTTTGGCAGTTTAGATCCAGGTTTTATTGTACGTTTCGTTTTTGTGACATTTCCTCATCGTCGGATCGATAGAATCTCTTTGTTGCAACGATCTTTCTTATCGCAATACGGCTACAATCTCTATGTGTGCAAAAGTTATAACAAGGGACAAGGGGAGGGTGGGATGCGTGTATTGGCTGCGTTTCAACGATTACTAAAAATTCTCTTGACAAAATTCTCTTTGACAAATGTACACTCACAATGTTCCGACATCAATTCCATTAATGGCAATGATAATAATAATCAACGATTTATTTCATTTTTTTTAAATGTTAATAGATCTTCTCGGGAGCGACGTATTAACATAACGTCTAAGCGAGGAAACAACATGTGTTTTCCTAGAAATTCTCGTGATTAGCTTCTTACGGCACGGTAAAATCTTCAACTCGGCCGTTTTCTAAGTTCCTTATACATCGAGTAATTCGCTAAGTATCCTCGATCATCGTCCGTCGTTTCCTCCGGCGAACGAAAACGCGGGTGCGCGCGCTTCGTTCAGGATCGTCTCCTCTGCATATTCATTGTATGCATGTACATACAACAGACTGCAACGACGACGCGACTGCAAACAGTCACAATCTACATTCCCTTTATGATCAATTTGCGCGAAGTTCCGATTTGACAGACAAATGCCGCTGCTATGAAACTTTGGTTTGCGGTATTGCGACGTTGCGTTGACAGAGACAAAAATCGTGTGACTACATTCAAAGATAAAACTCGCTAAGGAGACACGAAAATTTAATTTGACAATTAAAACGAAAGACGAAAGGAATCATGCGATTTGTCCAGCGGAAGAAGTTAACTCTCGCAGTCTCTAAATGTACTCAAAAGAGTTTTGTCTGAAAATTTCTCAAGTTCCAGTGTCTGAAAATTTCTCAAGTTCCAGTGTCTGAAAATTTCTCAAGTTCCAGTTTCTGAAGTAGATCGACACTGCTGCTTCACAGCATGCTGTAACGCCTTCACAGCGTTGTAACGTCAAAAAATATGCGTTCATTTCATCGTTGGATTAATTACGTTATCGAACTGTAGAACGATTACATACACATTGATCTTATTCAAATATATGTGAACATTGAAAGATCTGCTTTTCCTTTTTTTTCTCGTCATATCGGATAAAATATACATTCTGATCCTCACGTGAATCCTTGCAGTCGCAGCAGGATCGTCGCACGTGCTGGGAGCATAATCCTATACGCGAAATCAATCTGTACAGGTCGAAGCAAAATATGGATTATCACTTCTCGCGAAAAGAAAAGATTTTTGATGCGCGTCTCATATAATATAGCTGAAATTCACCGCCCAGTAATCGACTGCTTCATATTGAAAGGGAGCTACACGTTCAATTTTCATTTTCGCGGATTAGCGCCTGGTCTGAAGGGACGCATCTCGGACCGCTCTAATCGACGACGAGATTATCCCTGCACCGTACGGAGAATATGACGAGGCGCCTTTCGACGAACCTTCGTTTCCCTTCTTTTTTCCTTTTTAAAGCTATATAATACAAAAGAGGCTGGGGAACCTCTGCCGAATAAAGTACCAACGAGATTCACAAGCGTCGAAATAGGCAGTAAGTTAGAAGTGCTATCGCGATTATGTACCACACGTTCTTAGGGGACGTCCCCGTAAATTGGGGGAGGGAGACGTCCTCTCCCTATAGAGTAAAATTCAAGACTTTGAAAAACAACGTTCATCATACTCGGTACATTTACTTCGAAGGAAGTTACTTTATACATTGTACAAGAGATACTTAATATTACGCTGAAATCCAGAATTCTGCAGACTGAGACGAAAGCGCGACGGGGATTCTCTTTCTTTTTTTTTTTTATTTATTCTTTCCTCCTCCTTCTCCATCTTTCGTCTCATTACTCTGCCGCTCTTCGTATGCTCGTCTCGTACTCAATTCCCGCGGATGGAGATACAAACGATATGTCTCTGACAATTCTCCTCCCGTTTCTCTCTCCCGTATCCGCAAGAGTCCCGCCGTTCCCGTTTACGCATTGTCAACGTTATAAATAATTACATCGCGCGACGCGACGGTGATCATCATCCTCAGTGTACGTTATTCTGGCGCCTCCCCGACGACTTAACGCATATACATATTTATACTTATATCGACTAGACAAATTGTACAGTGTTGTGTTCATAGTAAAAGTGAGAATAAATCGTTAATATACGCGACTCGTACAAAATATCTTCCGCGTCTCGAGGTATGTACAGGAGCATGTACGGCGAGCTCACGAGCTCGCGCGCACACATTTCGTAAACTCACTCTCTACCATACGAGGTGCTTGTCGAGGTTTCCACCGGGGCTCGGTCACGAGATTTACTACGCATGAGATGGGAGAAGCTGGCGGAGGAGCCGGTCGGGGTGTTCGTCGTTCTTCAATGTAAAAAGGGCACTTGATTCAACAGAGAGGCGCAAATTTGTGTCATGGAATGGAAACGTAAACCCGTCGAACTCGAACCGGCTCGCACGCCCGAGGCGTCCCGAATGACACAGGCGTCGGAAAGACATTCTAGCTTAACGAAAGACATCCCTACGAATCGTCCAGAGACGTCTTAATTTCACAGATCTAGATAACGATAATTGTCCAAACGTCTTTCTAAGATAAAAGCTTCGTTTGGTCTTTCTAAAAGACGTTCTAATCTCCGCGTGACCTGTATAGACATCTTCTAAACGTTTCCCGGACACTCGTGTCACTCGTGTCATTCGCGGCTATCTCGATGATTGGCAACTGTGTGATTCACAGCAGCTCGCTCACGCTGCAAGTGCAGGCCCCGTGGTGGCTGTAGGGTCACACGGAGCTCTCCCTCTTGGCCATCACCACCGGCGTGCTTATCGTCGCATCCTTTGGCTTCTGAACCGTTGGACAGCACTGGCTGGACACCCGTGTCTCGCAGTCTTTCGACGGCAGCGTGCCGCTCGGGCAGGTCCTGGTAACAACACCCAGACCGGCGTATAACATCGGAGGACTCATTGTCATTGACATCGATTGAACGCTTTGGCTGGGCCAGTGTTGTCTCGGCAGGGTGCAAACGCCGCTCTCGTAGACATCGCCCACCATCGGCTGAAACTGAAATACGTCACTCATGACTTCCGTTCCACATCATCAGATTGATACGATCACATAATTATTTAAAAGAGAAATGAATTATGTTATTCTTGTTATTAATATGCCTTGTTGCGCCCACTGATATCCTATTTAATTATTTAATCTAATCATGATTCAGGATTTGCCCTTTCAGCTGCACAATAGCCCTTAGTTATTAACGTAAGCTATTGTATTATTTAGCTAAACATGTACGAGATTATTAGCATGAATTTACATTATTGAAAATCTTCCATGAAACTTACGCTTTTGTGCTTCGTTGACAAGTTTGAGAACTCATGCAGCGGCATACCGTTGCGAATCGTGCAGTAGCCGACATAACTGCTGTGTCCGCTGATGGAAGTCACCGTCGAATGCTCCAAAAGGCTCCTGGATGGTGATGTCTCGATCGTTGATACCAGGCGTCTCTTCCTTAAGTATTCCGACGGCTCGTCACCTGCGCAAAAATTTCACGACGTTTTTACAACCACCAAATTTCGCCGCAGAGTTTTACGGGCGTGTAAACACGAACGAGGCAATTTCCGGAATAAAAATTTACAACCACACGTAAAACGGGCGGAAGCGTTATATCGCCGAGATTTTCTTTCAATCTTGAAGAAAATATATTTTGGATACTTTGTAATTTACATAAATCTCTCGCATCTGCTCTCTTAATGCGCTATTGATTTTCAAATTTTTTTCAGAAAAATTATATTTGAGAAGATAAAAACATTTATTTTCAATTTTTACTAAATCTATCGTATTTTTAAAATAAATTTTCAACTCGCTTTCATAAATTTGCCAAATTCAGAATTGATTCGAGGAATTGTAAGCATACAAAGTACCAGTGATTTGTTGTGGTATAATGTCGGGATTCTTTTCATCGCTTTCGCTGAGATCGCCGCTGGTGTCCAGTTTTCTAAACGGGCTGCTGGGATGTTTCTCGTCCGCGAGCAGACTACATCCCTCTCGGAATCGTAGCTCCCTTTGTATGGGAACGGCTTTCGTCTGCTTCGCGTGATCCTCCATCTGCGACTTGTTCTGATCCTCCACATGCGTGTGCTGAATCCGTAAGACGACCATCACTATGACCGCAACGATAATGAGAGCCGTCACTACGCCGATCATCACACTCAGCATCGGCGTCAAATTGTCGTGCTGCCTTGGTCGTTCTGCAACATTCAGAATGGAAGAATTGAAAATCAAAAGAAAAATCCCGACCGCATAGATTCGCCTAATTGCAGTGAAATTATTACAAAATCATTTTAAAGAGCTTTCAGCTTTCAGCGCACTTCGACAAAAATAACGTACCCTTTAATGAAAACGCTTTTAAGCACTCTAAAATCTAGATGTGGCATCGGATTTTGAACAAGTTACACGACACGATAATATTGTAACAGTTCAGCTGATGCTATGTTAATACCGTAACAGGCACAGCTTTCATAAAAGAATAAAAGGCGCGTGACACAGGTGTCACGCCCGACTTGTTTGCATATCCGGTCGAAATGCAACGAGCAATGCTCCAAATACAGTCGGGCGCATTTTATTTTAATAGAGATATAAAGCACGCGATCCCGGTGGTAGACGAATTAAAAATTACGATAACAATCGCATCAACAGCAAACAACGGGAAAATTGTCCGATAGTATTAAATCGCCAGTTTCTGACCCGATTTTTCGCGTCGGGTCATAAAAGCGGCGGGAGCTTTTTCCGCGGCTCACTCGACGAATTAATATTGAGTCGATAGCTTTTCATTAATTCGACCAATTGGCGGCGGCACTTTACTCGCACTATCTCATTGACGCAAAATTTGTGCTGTAATTATTTAAATCTCGCGTAATTTTTTGAGATTAATACTCGTCGCGTAACATCGACACGTTGAAATCGCGCTATAAAAAGGAAAATTTACGAAAAATGTTCGAGATAAAAAAAAATGAAATCTTTAAGAATTAGAATTACATAATTTATGTTAATTTAATTTATGTTTCCAATCCATAATAGTATTAAATAATACTTTGTCCGTTAATCGTAATGTTAGAAAATAATTGAATTTTATAATTTTATAATTTTATTTCCTAAAAATTTGCGTCAATTCTCTTCTCAAAATATAATGCGATCGCGCGACTTTTGACGATAAAGAACTTTATGTCGCAAGCAAAAAAGTTTGAAAAGTACTCGTGTAGGATGTATCGCGTAGGATGTAGAGTGATGTGATGGCTCTCAAGTCAATACTTTCTCGGAACTTTCAAGCAAATCGAAAGCTTGTTGAAAAGATATCGAAAGCTTTGGAATTGTTAACGGTACGGTAAATCCAGTAAAAATTTTTGCGAATATCAAACGAGTATCAACGTATTTTAATATGCGATACTTCGGAAAAAAATACTTACATGATATGTACACACGCTTTCCATTAAGTACTCTATTTTCATTATTATTCTTGGGAGATTGTTCTATTTTTATTTATTATCATCTTTCTCTCACCCGACTCGGACGTGAGTTGCTTTTCCGGCAGCCTCAGAGTGCCGGCCTGCACCACCATCGCCTCGCTGCGGCCCTTGTCGTTGTAGGCGTAAATGCAGGCTTGATAAAGGGCGCCGGACTCCAAGTGAGTGACGCTGAAGCGCGGCACCGGCGATGTCAGATTGGCACGCAACTCCTGGCTGTTGCTCTCGCGCACCTCCAGCAGAAAGGACTGCGGCAGGCCGCCGTTGAAGCCCTCCGTGCATCGCACGGAAAAGGAATTGGTCGATGTGTTCGAGGTCGTGCAATTGTGAACCATGTCCGGCCGGCCTGTCACGGATAAGGTTCGCCTTGCGTTTTAAAATGCCCCGTGTGCACGAGACTGTTCGCGCGCTCGCAACAACTCGTAACTGGCCACGAAACATCGTGATAACATCGCGGACTAACTTTCAAGTTCTCCAAGTGCGCCCTTCCGATAATCGATTTTCCGCGCCGCGATATTAGGACGGATAAGATGGATAACACAAACAAACAATAACGAAAAACTATTATCAAGATTCAAAAAAAAAAAAAAATACAAAATTGAATTATATACGAACGAATATATAAAAATAACGAATATATAAAAATTTAAGATGTCGATGACGCGTTTAACGCGTCAATTATTTTTCGAAAAAAAAAAAAAAAAAATGACTGCTGGATTGTAAATTTTTTCAATGTTTTAAATAACTGTTAAAAAAAATATTGTTCGAAGCTTCGACGGATTCAGATTAAAATATTTGCTTGCTCCCATACAGCAGTAGTCAAGCGTATTGTAGAAATAAATGAATTAACGATGGTAATACCGAGATATATGCGTTTCGCATGACAACAATGGAAAAAGCCTCTTAAGATTACTAATATTTTTTTCTCGATTAAATAAAAAAATGTAAAAAACAATTTTTTCTATAGAATCGTATAATATTTCACAAGAACTTGCCTTTTTATTAAAAATCATAAATGGTCAATAAAAGTTACATGTTTTTATAATTGAGAGACATAGAAATAACTTTTTTTTTTCTCTCAAACTGTAAATCTTCAAAGTCTCGCGGATATGTTTCACAGTCGAAAAATTATACGACTATAGATGTAAAAAAATTGCGTAATAACTTTTCCAGCAGTTTCCGAAGTTCGTTTATTTCTACTTTTTCCGCTGTATTAAAGTGTGCTGAATTTTAAGCAAAACTAATTACATAAGTAGAGCGGTAACTCTTTAGCGTCAGCGTGTTCTGAACTTTATTCCAACTTTCGATGCTGCGTTCTTTTCTCGCCGAGATGATGTATAGTCTCGTACAGACGGCGCGAAAGGGGAAGTGTTATGCAACATATCGTTTCGCGTGCGGTATATTCGCGAATCAGGGCGTGATAGTTGCCCTGTAAATCCGGTACACGGTGCGCTGGCGCATACAAGCCACTTGTAACCGAGTCGGCTGTAAAGATATACGGCTGTCTGGCTTTTTCCTGTAAAGGTATTAGCCGGTGGTACACTTCGCGGCTCGTAAAAGCCAGCTAAAAGGGCGCGAACGAGACGATAACGGCGGGGAATACGGCATATTGCGCCGCGGGGAGGGGAAATAAAGAAAACGAAATAAGCGGGAATATGCCGAGTTGTTTTCGCGTTTATGGTTACTGAAAAATCATAGCGCGCCGGACACCTGCTAACATCTCTCGTGATGCCCGCTTTTTATTTGTCCGCGTCGGATTTGCTTCTTCTTCCTTTTTTTTTTTTTGTTGACACCGCGCGGAAACTGTTTTTCTTTATGTCTGAAACGCGTTCTTGTACATGCGTGTATGTGCGTTTTCTTTGTAGAGCAATCCGATAGCGCAATCCGATGAATCGCAATTAATTGGTAACTCGAGCATCGATATTGGCGGATACGCGGATTTGAGAATAACGGGAATGCTAGTGCTATGGATAGATCCGTTGGGCTTATATAGATTTTTCAAGTCAAATTTGAATAAAAAGCAACAATATCAAATTTGTTCACCGTAATGATTTATTTAATAAAAAAAAAAACTAGATTTTTGTGCTGTAATAAAAAAATGTGTGTGTGTGTGTATAAAATTTTATAATTTACATCTTAAAGACATTTGATATTCAAAAATAAATTGTGATTTCATTATTATGTCGTTATTACAACAATATTAATTGGAATTAATTATAATTACGAGTTTTCAAAGTTTCACGTAATTGGATGATTTTAATAAAATAGCATCACGTCTTTCCAATTTTGCACTAAGATTTGTGAATTAGTTATGCAATTACGTAAATGTGAGAAAGTAATACTTTGGAAAGTAGGAATAAAATTCGAATTCTAAATTAGCATAAAGTTGCAATTCTCAAAAAAATTAAATTCTTTGAATGAAAATCATTCGCATTAGCTCTATTTGTTCTATTATCCTGTAAAAAAAAACAGACAAATTAAATGCCAGATAAAAACTCATTTTATAAGTACAAATTTTTTACCCACTTTCCAAGCATAAATTTTAATCTTTGAAATGCAGAAAAGATTTTTAAATTATCATCATTCTATTTTTTCTAAAAAAAAAGGATTTCTATTTTATATTCGTTTTCTAGCTTCCGCCAAGGATATTCGTAAATTAAAGAAAGATCGATACACACACACACACACACACACACACACACACACACACACACACACACACACACACACACACAACAAATTAATTATTATTTATTTTGTTTATAATTATATCTCTACTTATTATATATATATATATATATATATATAAATAATTATTCTCGCGCGCGCGCGCGCGCGTGTGTGTGTGTGTGTGTGTGTGTGTGTACACGCACTCGTCGAGATAATTAATCTTCTAGGTCGAAAATTCGCTATCAAGAGCTATCTCATTTTCGCAAATGTCGCGATACACATAGATACAAATGCAGATCCCTTACCTGCCGGTATAATGTGATATACACAGGGCACTTGTTGTTGCCCGATGTGATTGCTGGCCCAGCAGAGTAACGTGCCGTAATCTAATTCCGTCATTGGTGTGTATGAGACGATGGAGGATGTGCCAGCCCGCGCGATATGGCCGGCCGCAACGTCGATACTCTCGGCGGAATTATTGAAGGTCCACTTGAATTGCACTTGCGGTGGATTTGCATCCACTTGGCAGGATATATTCGCCTTCTCCTGTTTCGCCACGCCGTGGACCTTCGTCTGGTTCGGCTTGCACGTGGGGGCAACTACGGGGGGAGGATACGAAAGTCGAACGGTATCGATAAATAATTGGGGCGCACGGATGCGAAGGTATCTTGGTCCTGTGCGGTTCATGAATTTCTTATGCTACCGTTAAACGTGCTGGGAATACAATTTACTGATATTTCGCGAACTGCTTTAAGTTTCTCGTGAAAATCTGATAAAAAAGAGGATTTGATTGGTCGCAAATAGGAGACCTGGTATTGGTTTTTTTCGTTTCAATTATAAAAGGATTTCTTGAAATGTAGGTCAATATTTCTTATAAGAAATATTATTTAAACGTTTTCGGATTTTTACTATCGTGATGATTCAGCTATGTTATATTTTTGAAATATTCTTGCGTACATTTTCTGAATATAAAGTTTTTGTCTTTTAAATGTAAATAAATTTTTAATTTACATTTTTTTTTGTTTAATTTGCATAGATATTTTAATTTCAATGTTAAATAACTCCACAATATTAATAAAGTAACTAAATTAAAAAGCGGGACTTAAAAATTCTCTTCCAAAATCCATTCCAATGTTCATTATTACTTTTTAAATGGTCAGACATTTTAATTTCAGACATTAATTAATTTTATTATTAATTAAATTTGACATTTTTCAAATCCGCTTAATCCCTTTTATTATCTTCTTTTACTCTTTAGCTATATGGATAGTATTATGTTAATAATGCGCTTACTGTAATTTTTAACTGCGTATTTCTATATTAAATATGCACGAGTTTCACTGTAATACGCTTTGCATTCCACAGCGAGCCAGCTGATTCGGGGTTTTCCGATAAATTCAAATATTGATCAACAAAACTATTGCAATATGAAATATTTCGATATCGCGTCCGATAATCTGCGTGCAAATGGATAAACAGCTGGCTCAATTCGACGTACAAATGTATATATGTAAGCCAGGAATTAAAATTTCACAGTGGGAATTTACGGAGTGTCGAATCTTCCCTCATTATAATCCACTATTGATTAAAGCCGACCGAATACATTTTCAATGAGCCCTTCCATTGTTATCTCGTTATCATTCGCATTCTTAATTCCGATAAATAAGTGATTATTCCAAGTGATTATTTAGTTATATCACATTCGCGAAGAGTAATATTATATAATAATTCAGATAACAAAGATTAAAATCTGTGAGATAATACATTTCACTCTGTCTGTTGAAATATTCTCGTTTCTTTCTTTTCGTTCATATTATATTCAAAAGTATTATCGCACAATTAATTCAGAAAAAATATATTAATAAAGTGAGATGAAAGAAGGGAAAGATTCTAGATTCTTAATTTATATTCTATATGAATAAATCTTTCTTCATTTACGCCGAGACGTCTATCGCTCTCTGCTCTTTAGTATTCTATGTGCGGATGCACAGGGATACATACACATCACGTTCAGATAAAAGGGCGAGCTCTCGCCGTCGCCCTCGGTGTTGTATCCCACGCACGTGTAATTGCCGGCGCTTTTGCGATCGACCCCCTGTAGCACCAGGCTCTGGTTGCTGATTATGATGCCCTGCGTGATGTTGTGATGGAGTGCCCTGCCCTGAAAGAAACACGGTAATTGGCACCTCTCGCTGTTCAGATTGAATCTCCCGGCCACGCCGGGATGTGCGGGGATTACTTTTCACGTGTGCGCACGCGAACGGGAATCGCACAGCCATACAATCTCGCTCTCGTCAAAGGTGAGAGGGAGAGATGATGAGAGACGTGCTCGCTCGCACGGGTGACGGCAAAGTTATTATAAAAGTTTGATGCTTCGAGCGTCGAAGTTTGTATATTCGGTCTTGATGTAAGTTGGCGTGGCGCGCGAGCGAGTACAAGCATAATCGAGCTTGTTAGCCGACGAGAGACCAATCTGTTTACGACACTCGGGTTTTAGAACTTTCCGAGTGCGAGGGATACGCAGGACGAATTGCTCGCGACAGTGTTCGCGCATCTTCGGGATTGATTAATGATAATCGTAACGACACGAAGCGAGAGGATACACGGGGGATGACATCCTCGAAATATGAACTAATGGAACTGGAGTATCTTGATTCTTCCGGAAGATTTCCCGCTCTCATCTGTATATCGGAAAATATTTTCCGATGTACAGACGAGAGACACATAATTCTGATAAATTGTACTTCGCGTGCGAATACTGTAAACGCAGTATTTGGGCGTTAACATAAAGTTAAATTGATTTCATCAAAATTAGCTTATCTTAAATGAATCTCGTTAAATAAATTTTTGTAACTCTAGAGCGCTCGTCGCTGATATTTTTTGCAAAATTTATTTCTGAGAAATCTTCGTTAAATCAACGTATTTTTATCGTGGAAAAGAGAAAAGTCCGTAATTTTCTAAAAACGATTCCATTATTTCATTTCTAGGTAATTACATTATTTCATCGAATATCCCGCATTAAGGAATATCCAGAAATATCTGGCGTGCAAAAGTCGCTAAGAAAAAAGTTACTATTTTGTCGTGAATAAAACTGTATTCTCACTTACCTGATGTCGCCATTCCACCTTGTACACAGGCGGCTCGGCCTGTATGAGACAGTCGAAGTAAACGTCCGTGCCCTCGCGTATGGCGTTCGGATTCAGCGACGTGCCGAGCTGAATCTGCGTCTCTGGCGTGTCTGCGAATCACGACCTTCGATAAACCGTCAAAATCGACCGGATTCCCGGCGTCTGAATAAATAAGGAAAGAGCGTCGGGCGAGCCCCGGGGAACGGAGCCGGAGTCGGAGCCGACGTCGTTTATGAGCTTACATTGTATCTGGAGTACCCAGCCGTCCTCTATCGGCGCGTTTCCCATGATTCGATTTTCAGCTTGACACGACAAGTGTCTGCCTGCGTCTGCTTTCGTCGCCATGAAAGATAAAACGCTGGTGGTCGTGTTCCCATCGGCGGAGGTCTGTAACAACATTATGATAACGTTCATCGGGGTCCCGAACCCGCCGCCCTTCGTCGTCATTCGTCGCATTTATTCTCTTTTTCCTCATCGAAATGATCCGTCCGCATTGTCTTCGATGGCGCCGACGTTCAACCCCCCCTATATTAAAAGCGAATCTATCACCGAACCTTGAGGGGCGCTAACTAATATAGTCGAAATTCCCGATCAATCTCTCGTTACCCTCCTGAAGGGGTCGGCCTATTTTCTAACAACGAAAAAGTGGCTTTTATCTCTTAGAGGGGCTGGACCGTCATTACGTCAGGGTTCACTGAATTATTTAATGTATGTGTGCCTGATTAATTTTCGCGACTTACGCGTGAGAAAGCGTGTGTGTAAGCAATAAATAAGGGATCTTATTCTTTCCCTATTTTTCTAGGTTGTTTACGTCACATACTTCTTGCCTCTTTTATCTAATATATTACATTAAAAACGCATCTGTCAGTAGCTAAGAAACTTATCTTATGCGTGATAAAACTTCTAAAGTGGTAAGAATAATAATGCATGTATGGGCAATTTAATTTTTTAACGTACCTTTAATTTCTCACTTTTGTTAAAATTATCAAAATATAAAATATATAAAAAAATTATAAAATATTTTATTATTAAAATATTTCTTCAAAATAGATATTTATTATTTTTTTACAAATAAATTTTAATGTTCTTTTAATGTTCTTTTAATTACGTTTGAATATGATCATATATCATTTTTCATATGACATGAATATTTCTCTGTTTAAAAATATTATTATTAATAGCTATATTATTTTTAATAGCTAATTAATTTAATATATCTTTTAGATTTTATTTTATTTTCTGAATTAAAGGAAGGAAATTTTGAAATTTTGAAGGAATATCTACAATATTTACAAATATTATAACCTTCATTTCGATAATCAATTCGTCCCAGAACTCATTTAAGTAGTAAATACCACTCTATGATCAGACATGCATCTCTGTGGAAAGCCGCGCGCCCTGAGGACTTCCGATTCGATTTACATCGTCGGGGTGCGCACTCAATGTAATTTACAAGCTCGATCATGGCCTGTACAGCTCCTTAAAGTGACCGTAAAATGAGGTTCTTCCTTATGTGTATGTATCCCATGTGCAAGCATATCTTGTTGCTATGGTGGTGCGTGAATTACCGTTATTGCGGGTACGAGCCTTTTACGCGATAAAAGCGTTGTTAGGCATCGAATAATTTAAATGCGAGCGTCGCCTAGGGATTCCGCGATTTCGCGCTTGTAATTAAGGCGAATCGATGCCTTAATGGACGCCCGATATGTCGAGTGGTCGATTAACCGCTTTCTCTCTCCTTCTGCATTGATACGATCGCCGAAATTTATCTCTGTCCGTCCGTACAATTGGAGAGATTTGCGAGCGCATGCAAGGGTAGATAAAAACATACCAACAAAGCCGCCTTTTCTATAAATCTGTTATTTATCAGTTAGCATTTCGTAAATAGTGGCTCGTAGTTTGAAAGCAGTACAAGGAACGGGTAAATAACGCGTATTAATGACGAAAAGCGCACTTTTTTTTTATTATTGATTTTGATCACAGAATAAATAGAGTAAAACGCGAGAGAGAAGATGTGCTTCATTTTTATAACGTTTATATAACGATCGATCAGAATGCAACCTCGAAACATTCGCATGAAAATTGTTTTCTCTTTGTTGTCTGAGCAAATACTTTTTGAATAGTTCCAAGGGTGCCGAAGGGAAAGAAATATGAAATTTACATTTTTTTTCCTCCTTTTATGTTTTTCGATATTAACGTGAAAACTGTTTTATTGAATTGCTATTGTCTCGGGGTGAAATTGTATAGTAAATCTTCCAATTTGTGTGATATTTCGAAATAAAATAAAATCCAGGTAATTTATTCGAATTGGTGTGCTGAATGAGAACTTTTTCAACTACGCCACAAATCACGGAAAATTCAAGTCTCACTTCTATTTTATATTTTAACCAACCTATCCAAATCAAGCGTAATTCGCAATTTTACGCTATTTATAAGTTCTGTAGTTTATAAAAAAATCAAGTGTTCATGGATTATGAAGCGCGCGTAATAACTCCGCTTTACGTTTTCGCGAGTGAAACATCCGGACTAGTGTGCAAACGCTCGTTCAGTCCAATGAACCGAGTTCAGGGATTACGTTCCTCGCATAAAACGGAAATTATGCGCACGGTAGTCAGAAAAAACGCGTCGTCCTCATTACTCATTCCCCTGAACGAAATATAACGCAAAATATTTCATAAAATCTCAAAATATTCCGGATGGTTTTTTTTTTGCAACGTTTCCCGTTGCGTTTGAACACGCGCGCAGCACAATCGAGCCTTCAATCTCGCGCGACAACGCGGGTTATCCCTCCGCGTTCTATCGCGCGATTAAAAAATAATCGCGGGCCAGAGAGCGCGCGCGAATAATAAATTTCGCGTCTTGCCAGGGGGAATAAATCAACGGTCGGGGACTCGCGCTCTAATTTCGTTCCGATGGCGGCGTGAGAGAGAGTTTCGCGCCGTTTCGCGCGACGGCCCGTGCAAAGATAATTACGAAATGAGATGCGCCATCCATTAAAAATATATTTCCGACTGCGCATTCCGCGTGGGTCGAATCGATTAACATAATTGCTGCAATTTTACGATACGATACGAAGCGTGGATGGGGATGGAGGAGAGAGGGGAGGAGGAGGGAAGAGGTAAAAATACTCATGGCATGAAAGCCTCGAGCTCTCGCTTACTGGGCTGTTGTCTACATCCCGGTAGCTATTTTTGCGCGCGGTTGCGTAATCGTGCGAAGCCGAGAAGGATGGAGAGCGGGCAACTTGCCGAGGAGCTGCGTGATTACGGGAAAAGTAAGAAGAGAGAGGCGAGCCAGCGTGGATTATGGCGGGTTCTCCCATCGTATTTTCCTCCCCTTTAGAGGCCGCCGCTTTTGTGTTTAACTTTCTTACGTAAGCAGCGAAACAATCTCCAGTGTCGTGTCGCTCTAGCGCGACTTTGAAACAATATTTTCTATATCCCCGCACGCCCGGGGCGTCCTCCACCCCCCTCGTTGTCGTCGCCGTCCTTAATCCGCCGCTACCAATATTTACGTCGTCGTCTTAAGTGCGGATCAAAACGCGCGGCGGATACGACGCGCGTCGTGTTGTTTGCGCGTCCGTGTGCACTACCCCTCCCCCCTCCTCTAGGGGTGTGTTTTATCGGGGTTGGCGCGGGGAAATCGAAGTAAAATAAACAACGACCGATGCTCGATTTCGCCCGACAACGGGTCAATTTATTCGAAAGTACGTTCTTTCATTTCATCGCTAATCCGCGTTTCCATTGACGTTTGTTTGCTTTGTATACGAAATACCTTCATCCGTTTCTCGCGACAGGAACGCCGCGCCCCGGTTAGAGCGTTCGATTTACGTTAAATCGAAATTTATTTCGCCGCGCGTTCGGAATGAAATTGAATGAATTAATGAATTGTATCGGAATGAAGAGGAAGGAAGAGAGAGAGAGAGAGAGAGAGAGAGAGAGAGAGAGAGAGAGGAGGAGGAGGAGAGAGA